GTTGCTATGAGAGGCCCAGGACCAACTATCGGCGTAACAGTTTGACCCCGCGCAGGTGAGTGCTATGCGCTACTCATCAAAGAAATAATATAGCGCGTCTACTCAACGCTATATCGTTGTCGCAGTAAGTGAATATACCATAATATTTGCTTTTTTTAAGTATATTATTTNATAAAGTATAGAGTTTTAAAATTATCTTGATAATTACAAGGAGGGAAGATAAAAGATATAAAAATAAAAATTGTTCTATTTATATAAAAAGATTTAATCAATTATAAAAAAGCTTCATCATATATACAAAGTGAAGTTTTTAGTTTGGTTTTTTTCCTCTTTATTAAACAATGTTTATAGAATTTATTCTTTCTTTCGTTCTATTCATATTTTCCTTGTGATTTTCTTTCTTCTACCCCGGTTGAAAAAGGTGATTTCTATTTCTTTTTTATACTTTCACTGGTTTTTTTTTTTTTTAATATTTTTTTGTCAATAGGTGTCGCTACATGTACAGTATATCTGTACATTTCGGGGTGTGAAGTAGGGCATTATCTAAATAAGTTATTTTATCTTCAATTTTCAATACACATATTTTTGCTCTTAAACCTACAACCTCTGTCACTATTTTTCCACCGTTTTCGACTTATTTTACCGAGTTCCTTTTTAACTCTAAGCATATATTTATTATTTTCATGATAATCAATCGTATGAGTTACGCTCAGGGGGTCATCATCTATTCTCCATATTTCAATCCGATCTGTCAGAAGCCGGAGGACAACTTGGGTTAGAAATCGTATTAGCAGGGTACTTGCTCTTCTTTTTTCTCTAACGCACAGCTTAACACGTCTAGAATGAAGTTTCTAATTCGTCATAAAAGGAAAAATAAATCATTCTCAACAGGGATGTTTAGTCACTCAATAGATCTCATTATCTTTCTTACGTTTCAGAACGTAACTCGCTCCCTACTCCTTATCATGTATAAGCTATTATCTATAAATTTCGGACACCTTAAACAAAAGTTCAGTTTTATTTATTTAATAGATTATAGAGCGTCACTCGAGTAAATTACAACAAAGTAGATAAAAGGAAAGTTATTAGACTTGAAGTTTATTCTGTTTTTGGTTCGAAGGATCATTATAAAACCGAAATTTTTATTATCTTTATATAAACGGACTCGAAACACAAGAATATTAGATTTTTGAATACACATTACTGTTAACACGAATGTAGGCTATATGCGAGGAATGATCCGCGATAATCCGTCTCTTCAGCAACAGAGAGGCGCAAAAATCACGCAACAATAAAACTGACAATTCGTTGCGAGCGGTTGAATTTTCTGTTCGTGCGATTTAAAGTGATTTACGAACATTCTAAATTTAGGTATTTTTGAACATTTTTAAGCGGAGTATCGCAATTAGTGGCAATGATTTTCCAAAAGAGCTCCATTTAGATAACAATTGATCGGTTTTGTCACGGAGACGACGAATGGGGTCTTTCCACTTATTTTAGGAGATACTTTTCACGTTTTTTATTGTTAATTTTTGTTCAGCCCAAATTCAATCGACTTGTTAAAGATTTGTAATTGTTAAAGCAAAATGGAAATAAATAAATGCATTAAATTATTATTCCCAGGTATAGTTTACGTACACATTATATCCCATATGAAATTCGCACCGCTATACTCTAAACTTTAATTAATTACAATTTATCTATTTTCACAAATATTTTGTGTTATGGCAATCGACAGAATTGTATAATTTGTATAGACCGATTTTTTTTAAATTATGTATCGAACATTAAAAATCGTTGGAATGATTAAAATTAGTATATTTAATAATTAAAGATTTATGATTTTGAAATTTTTATTATATTTAAAACGATCATTTCCTACAATTTACTTTCATAAATCTTTATAGCATTAATTAAAAATATTCCTATTGTCTTAATTTCATCTAAATTGTAAGTAATAAATATATTATATTTCTTACTTACAATTTACATGAAATTAAGACAATAGGAATATATTTAATTAATGCAAGTTCTAATTTTACAACAGTCTCTTCTTTCTCATTGCAGAATAGATAATTTCAGAGTTAAAAAAGTGGCACACTTCGGGAGATGAGCCTCGTCCTCCTTCACCTTCACCTCTTCCACTTCCCTTCGAGTGATTCGGGTGCTTCCGAAAGATGTCGGGAAGAGCGGAAGGCGAAACTCGCCTACACCCGACAAGAAACGGGCGGTTGTCATATCTCCGAACGAAAACACCTCTTCTTTAGTCGAGTGCCTGGGACGAAGATATCCGGAAGTTGCGGAATGGACGGTGGAGAGGCGGTCGCGCGAGGTAGGACTCGACGGACAGGAGTCGAAAGGGATCCTGAAAAAATCCGTTAAAAGTAAGAAGCCTGGATGGAAAAGGGTTTTCTTTTCCAGCAGAAAATAAATTTTTTCTCCGCCAAGGTTATCTTTCACCGAAATCAACTTTGCCACACGGAAATGACCTTTCATCCGAGTACTACGTGAACTGGATTTGACTCGGGTTTTCATCTGGCTCGGTTTCTTTCCTTTCCATTTTACGGACAGACACTTCGGCGCCGTCCGAGGACTCTTTCTTCCTCTTCGATTAAATTAACGTGTCCACAACAATGACGGTGTGATGTCTATCGTCGCAAAGTGACGACGAAAACATAAGGCAGTGTTTCTCGAGTTTAAAGACTGTTGTTTAAAAGACTTTAATAAGCCAAAGTGACTTATATTATGTAGACATTTATACTGTATTTAAACCGGTGTGCTACTGCTAACAATTTTTACAACAAATGGTAGAAAGTAGTCACTCGTACGCACTACAATTCGACATTAAGCTTCAATAAAAAATCAAAGAAACAACATTGTTGTCAGTATATGTGCAAATCTAAATAGTAGTGACTTCAGCAATTGAATTTGTAAATAGAATTGTCTTAAGTGTAAAAAACTTTATATTAAATAAAATTTAATACGAAATTTATCAACTGTTTAAAGATTCGATATTTATTAAAATAAATTTTTAAAAAATTACACATTTTTACATTTATTTATAATTCTAGGAAACAAAACTTATTCTCGCTTCCGGACCGAAATTGTCTTGCGCGAAACGGGTGCACTGAATTCGAAAATGACTATGAAAATGCTCTATCGCGTGAGGTTTAGATGTTACAAGTATATTTCAGTATGTAAGGAAATATATACAATTAAGAGACGATTATTAAATGATTACGATATAATTCTTATGTTAGAGAAAGGAACAAGAGGTAAAATTTTACAATGTTTTAATAGATATGCAAAAGAGAATAATAAATACACGAAAGATTATGATAAAACTAAATAATCGAATTATTTAATGTATTTAGACGCCAACAATTTGTACCAGTGGACTATGAATCGATATTTCCATACGATGAATTTAAATGGACTGATACAAATATTGATGTTACTATATGATTTACGTGTACAAATATTACAAGGAACAATGGTTCTTCAACTAAAACTAATAGCCTAACTTTAGTAAATAAGAAAAACTTGTTTGTAAGATAAGAACTACATATTGATCGAAGAAATTGCCTTTGTTGGCTCATCACATTAACGGACTTATAAACTTTACAAAAAGATTATTCTACTTCCGAAGCAACTAACATGCTAAATTTTCAATCGACTATTAACATGCCTCAAAACCAAACTTATCAAAACGAACACAAATAACTCTAATTTGACTGTCATTTGGAAGTGGGTATCGCTTCCAAGTGCCAACTTCCAAGTGGCTTATCTTTATGAAATAAAACCTTTGACCGTTGTCTAAATTGACATAAATTTTTACTTTGGGAATTTTTTTTCATCTCACAAGTTTTTCCCATTAAAAAACTTCAGAAAGACAATACTCAAAATGTTAAAAATGAACACAAGAAATGTAAATGATGTAGTTCAAAAATTTTTCAACTTTTCAGCCGTCTTGCACGAGTTATTCTGTTCAAAATCTAGCGAAAAAACGTATTACCTTTGTTAAAAAAATACTGAATATATTCTAAATAAATCATTACAAAAACGGAAGTAAATATACAAACCTTAATTAACAAAACAAAGTTAGATACGAGGCGTGTCTGGAAAGTAAGTACCGTTTTGGAAAATCTCACATAAAAAATCTTTTTTCAAAACAAAATTTATTTTTACATGAAAGAGCGTGTTGCAAACTATTTTTCTACAAAGTTACCACCATTGTTCAGACATTTGTCATATCGGGAAACCAACTTGTCTATACCCTCTTCAAAGAAAGATGCCGCCAGTGAAGACAGCTACTGCTGAACATTGATTTGTGAAAATCTCATGCAAAACAGTTTTTGAAATTTGTGGAAACTCATCACAAAGCAATCTTATTGTGAACCGTCTGTTTTCAAGAATTTTCTCATTCACTTTTGCAACCAAATCATCATTGACAACAGAAGGCCGGCCAGTCCGTGCTTCGTCATGAACATTGGTGCATCCAGCATTGAAATGTTGAGCCCACTTTCTCACAATTCCATCACTCATTACATTTTCACCATAAATCTCTACAAGTTGACGATGAATTTCAACTGGCTTAACATTCTTTACGTTCAAAAACCGTATTACAGAACGCACTTCACAGTCGGCGGGATCGGCAATCGTCTTAAACATTTTGAACGCTCACTAACACATGGAAAAACATCACAACCTGGCTCTAATGGCGTCGCTGGACTGACAATCAACCAGAGACACGTGTGCACAGGTGCTGAACTGCGATACTACACTGCGGTGGCGGTAAAACGAAACGGTACTTACTTTCCGGACACGATTCGTAGATAGCAAAATGAAAGCAGAAAATAGAATAGTTGACATCAAATCTCGACATTGGAACACTAAAAAAAAACAAAAAATTAGTAGCAGTTGCTCCATAAATTCGAATCATTTTATCATCACAAATTTAGACTATTAAAGTCCAATAAAACACACCACTATAACACCGAGCTTTATTTTTCAAGTTTTGAAATAAGCATAACATTTTAACTTTATTGATTTACTTTTCGACCTTGACGTTTGTCAACTTGTAGCAAGATATTTCGACGACATTATTTTTACCTTCCTTCTGTCGAAACTCGAGGAAAACGTCGTAACATCCCTGAGAACAAGTCAAAAGTTAGCTTTTAAGTAATTCGAATGCTCGAAAACAATTCGTTCATTCCTTACCGGATTAAACATTTTGGGGAAATTGGCGCATCCGTATATTCTTCCCGGTTGAATGTTGTTTCCGTTTTGCAATTTCTTGGCGTAATCCCTTTCCAAACAAGAATAGTAAGCGTTCTTATCTTTAGCACACTTCTTAAATACTTCCATCACAAATTTTACGCCGAAAGTACTGTAAACAAATGAAAAATTAACGAATATTTAATAGAAAACTTACATATTACTTCGTATTTTGCCGGTTTACAATATTCTCTTTTGTAATATCTTTCAAGTAAACTTACAAAGTTTTCAACGCTTCGTTCTTGTCTTTACCGCACGGTAAGAGGGTGAGGAAAAAGATGGCGTCGCACGTTACGGGCTGCAAGAAATTTAAATGAAACGAAGCCTGGAAGCTGTTTTCGTACTGAATCGGATAAGGAGTGAAGGTGAAGTTGGAATATTCCATTCTGCGGTCGTTCTCGTCGTCTGAAATAAATTTAGAAAACCAAAAGCGGCATTAGTGTGGATTTTCGACGTACAAATTCGTGTAGTAATGTTCCTTCGAATTCATTGTCGCATTTTTCAGTGTCCTACAGTGTCTCTTGGAAGCTATACGATGTTCCTCGTTAAAATAAAACCAGGCTTTCCGATCTAATGTAATTAACCTCGTAAAGTAACAGAAATATATCATTTTTGTAAATTTTCGTCTAATGGAGATTATTATTAATGTAACACCAGTTCCTTTTTTAAAAAGCTTTTTTAATTGGATGTAATTGTGTTTTTTAAAGGACTGTTTTTAAATTCTGGCGGCATGTAGCCTATAAAGGAAGGTCTGTCGCCGTGAATGTGAAGTCTGGAACACGAAAAATAAATGGTGGCCCCTTTTTGGGCNGAAAAATGGAACGTAAATGTTCCATGAATAGAACATAAAAATATTTTAAATCAAAAATTTTACAAGAGAAAAAATAACGGAAGAATATTAAAAAAAAATTAAAACAAAAATAGCATAAATGTTCAATGGATTAATTTTGGTCGAAGTTTCTAGTACATTTCTTAACCAAATGTTTCTATGCCGATGGTAGGCTCTCCGCATCTCTCGCAGCCTTCTCCTATCTTACTTCTGTATATTTCTATTTTCTCCGCCGTCATTGCTAGAGTTGGGGAAGACAGAGGTTTGATGATTGTTGCCTCATCCCATTTAACCTTAGAGCCTTGCGTTTGCGCCATTTGGGACAAAATCGTTGAATTAGATGCTTTTCTTATGGCATATCTATGTTCTTTGAGCCTTACTCCCAAGCTTCTGGTAGTGACGCCGATATAATCTTTTTTAACATCCAGTTGTAAGTTCTCATAAGGAATCTTATGAGAACTTGGCGGAAGCTGTTTGTAGGAGTTCCAATAAGCAATATGTCAAAAAGTTGAAATAGATTATTCACAAGCAAATAAGAAGAGATAATAGGAAGAACCTTAGTACCTTCTACGTATGGGACCAGATAGAAATACCAAAGAAAATCAAGCAGGTTCTGGAGAAAGGCCCGAAATTTGTCCCCACTAAGTGGTTGGGAAACGTTTGAAGTAAGTGGTTGGGAAACGTCAGTACAGGAGATTGAGAGAGGGATAGTTGGACTGGATGCATTAGAAAAGAAGCGGTCATTAACAAACGGCCGAAGAACAGGACAGATGGTATTACTAGTAGGGACATTTGGCTCACGAAGGAGTGGTTAAGGATTAATGATCTTGTGTTGACAAGAGCAGACAAGACTAAGCATTTGGTTATCATGAGAAGGCATGCATATAACAAGGAGTTGAATAATTACATCAAAAAGACAGAATGTGAAATTGTTGGCGACCAGATAGTTTGAACTTTGGACAGAAGAGTCAGGAGGCTGGAACGCTTGGGTCTTTCTGCTGTTTTACCTTTTCTCAAGAAATGCTGAAACCCAAGGCCCAAAACTCCAAGACTGTTTGCTTTCGCTAAGACCCACAAGACTGGAATGGAGTTAAGGCCAGTTGTAGAGAAATGCAGAGGACCCACCTTTATATTAGAAAAAAGGCTGCACGAGTATTTATCCTCACACCTTGATGATGATACTCTAGTGGCACAGGATCCTGTTATTGTTGTCAAGGAAATACTGTAATGTCTCGTTTTATGCGGTGGATACGTTCTACAGAAAAGCGCATAAAAAAGTTCGCATAAAAAAAGACTTTACTTGCCTTGAAAAAGTAGGGATACGTTCCGTAATTTTCTAAAATCGCAAAAAACCAAAACAACGAGTTAAAATTAACTTAAAACCGCATAAAAAAAAGTTTGCAGATATTAAAAGAAATAGGCTGCTTAATGAATTACTTCGAATGTCTGAAAGAAATTCATATAAAAGCTTAAAATAAACTTGTATTCAAACTTAATTCAGTTTATTTTATTGAAAAGTAATATAGTTTTACATTTTTTAATCATTATCGCTATCTGATAATGGTTTGCACCGTTTGCGAAGTGGTTCCAAATCACCTTCATCATCAGAAGAGACTGTCTCTGCAATAGA